GTAAGGAAAAATATATACATAGGTACATACAAGTGTAAACTGCAAAAAAACATTTTGTCCCATGCTAAATAACGGTAATCTCAATATTGATCAAAATAATCAATATTTTGACCATAATCGTTCAGCTCAGCAGAGCATATTTAAAAACCATATGAATGGTCTCGTGTCTCTTTGTGAAATCCTGCAGCACAAGTTTGAGCCAGAATCCTTGAAAAGAATTACACAACTCCTGGATACAAAAAGCCTCAAGGCCGACCGTGCGACTATTTTTAACTGATCGGTTTATTCAGTTTTTCACATAGCTGCATCCTCCATCGTGGCCCCTCATTGTTGTGCTCTGTGACCCATTAACTCCACAAACTGCACAAACAGTAGAGATGAGTTATATAATAGAGGAATACTGTCGCTGTTTGTAGATCGAGTTAGATTGTAGGCCCACAAACGTGCTTCTGTTGCATGATGAAGCTGCTCCGATTCTGCATTCATTTCCATTTACGTGTCCTGTTCGCTCATACTGTAGCTTGTGTTTTATCAGGAAACGCCGTCACAAAACACAAAACAAAAGATTCCTCGAACGTTCAGCAGACGGCACCACCTGTGCAAGTCAGAGGCATTTCAGGCCGAACACAAATGTACAGTCTTTAGTCTTTTAGTTCACAGCTGGAGGACTCGTATCAAGCGGAGAACACAGAGGAGAAATGCAAATTCATTACGGAGCTGTTTTTCCAAAGGAAGCCTGGAGCCTTGTTATCTCGCAGCACAGCAGTGATTCAGTTGAACAGAAAGACAGTTTTACAGCATATGTGGCGAGCTTTTAAGGAAAAATAAAGTCCACACTGTTTGAAATAGTACATAATACAGAGAGTTTAACTTCAAGGCAGCCACTGTTATTTATAACCCTGTGCATTAAGGAATCATTTATAAAGGGCTTCATATGTTGTGTGTGAATGTATAGCGCCTTATATTGCTGTAATAAGTAGAGCTCACCTTGTGTGTGTCCTTTTTTTGAATTGTTTTTAAGAGGACGTCTCCAACAGACGGAGATTCCTGTCTGAACAGCTGGCTGTTTCTCAGGGAATCATGATCTTGCAATTAAAATAATTAGCGACAAACTGGAAGCACACTCACCGGTTTTACCAGCCACCACAAATTGCACTATTTCTTACAAATTATCTCCCATTAGAGCCACTTTTACAAGCAGGGTCCTATAAAAATCAAGCCCAGTCTGCTCAGAGATCTGTATCGAACTTGTCTTGCTGCAAACGAAACCTTTTCCTCTCCTGAACCTCTTGGTTTCCGACCCGATATTGAAGATTTACATTATAAATGACTGGTTTTAGACTTGTTATCTGCAGAATTGCTGGTTTACTGCCTACTGAGAAAACTACGGTTGCGTTATGGATTGAAACTGTGCTGCTTGTGACACTATATTCATCTCTTTTCATGACTGCAAACCTTCGTTTTTGTGGGATCCTAAGCTATCTTCAACATCACTTTTTTACTACCCAAGTATTAGTTTCTGCTGTAAAGTTTTCAGGCTGTGTTTAAGACAACAGCATCTCCTCCTCCTCTTCTCTTCTTCTTCTTGTAAATAAAGCCAAATACTGCCGCCAGTTGGGCTTTTAGATGCTTTAAACAACAGTCTGTTTAATTAATGTGCCTGCTTTCATAAACCTTTTATGGCTCCATGCAGTAGCTCCATATTTATATAAACACTGACTGAGGCTGCGTTCAAGAGCTTGTTGGATGCGACTAGTTTTGTGTAAATTCTGCTGTGGGATCCCAGATCGAGGCCGAGCGCCTGTTTAGACATCACAGTGTGTAAATATTAAGACACAGCTGAGCAAAGTCACAAAGAAACCGCCTTCCTTTCCTCCTCCTTTCCCCATTTTTCTCATCGCTCCCCTCTTTTTTCCACTCTTGCTTCATCCATCCGTCTCGTTCCTCCTTTGTACTGCGCTGACGTCAGCTGAGCCACCTCCATCATCTGCTGTCATCGCTTTTCCTCCACAGCATCGTTCTTGCTTTTCCTTCCTCCATCTTTTCGGTTCCTATCCTCCCATATCCTTTCCATGAGTTTCATCCTTTTTTTTTTTTTCTTTCCACCCCCTTTCCTCTGAAAATAAAAGTAACCCAGACTGTTTGCGAAAGCCCGTCCAAATCAAACGTCGTGTCGCTGTGTTTTCACAGGCCTCATTTCCC